TCTTTTGATGTCATCTTGTTCGGTTTGGGGGGTTGTAGTAAGTACAGAAATACGAACATCAGTAGCGAGTGCTGGTGCCTTTACTTCCTTGTCTTCACTAGCAACGGATATACCATAATAAATCCATTGATGTAGAAATGAAAGCCGGGTTCCACTAGGGAACAGAGAGGCTTGAGCAGACAATGTTAGAATCGGAGTCGACGCCTGATTATTGTCTTTGAATTTGGTGAATGCCAAACCAGGATATTTGTGCAGTAGATGCAAAGCGATATCTGATCATGTATATCAGTTTAGTAGAACGTAAGAAAATGTACTTTATGGTTTCAAATAAAAAAATAGTTCTGCAATACTTAATTACTGTACTGGAAAACGATAATAGGATTGAATATATATGTATACACATAAGTAAGAGGATAATATACGGTAGGTTGTATTTTTAAAATTTTTGAAGAGGATCCATTTAAAAATTTATGTTCTAATTAATATATTCAAGAATTGACAATTAGATTGAAAGTTCTATTTATGTAGATTATGCATATTTATTTTTATATTATTCTAATACTTATAAAAAACTTTATTTATTGATGCATATTTAACAGCGTTAGATTTTTTATAATCAACAAAGTGTTTAAGCCTATTAGAATAATTTAAAAATTTTTATATATGATCTATATGAATAAAATTTTTAATTCAATGATTGATTTTTAAAAATATTAATTATAAAATAAGTTTTTAAATGTATTCCCCAAAAAAAATTTAAGAGAATGACATGCAAACACACTTTTCTATATATATATATATATATCCATTTACACAAAAATTTTAAACATAGTAGTTATACAAAATCCTAATAATTCATTTTTTCATTTTCAATAGTTGAAATTTATCACAACTTTTTAGATAAAAAAATAATTATTTTTAATAAACGTGAATAAATTTCAATTATTGAAAGTGAAAAGATGAATAGTTAAGATTTTGTGTAAATTTAATATATAAAACTTATATATAACTAGATTCCTACTTATATATATAAGTAGATATTCATTTACACATAAATTTTACATATCAAACTTATGCAAAATTTTGATAGTTTATCTCTTTACTTTTAATTATTGAAATTTATCATGGCTTTTAAGTGAAAAAAGTATTACTTTAATAAATATGATAAAAATTAAATAAATTTCAACCATTAAAAGTGAAGAGATGAATTATCAAAATTTTATATAAGTGTAGTGTGTAAATCTTGTATGTAACTGGATCCCTGCACAAAATCTTGATAATTCATTTTTTTATTTTCAGTAGTTGAGATTTATTCACGTCTTTTTAGATAAACAAGATAATTACCTTTAATAAATACTAGACTTTAATGTTCTTCTGTAGATTTTATTAATTATAGATTTTTATTATAATAATTAACTATAACTATAACTGTATATCTTAAAGTATTTTTTTTGATAATTATATTAGTCATTTTAAATGTATTAATTCAAAAAAAAAGAGTCTTAATGTTAGATATGGAAAAAAATTTAAACATTCATATTAATCAATTTAATTTTAAAAAATCAAGACAAATTTTCATAATTTGTTACTATTTTAATATATTATGAACATTTGTGAATCATCTTTATATATTCTTTCTCTTTATAATAGTAAATTGTTTGATGTTATTTATTCTCTCCTTTATCATCTCCTTAATTACCTCATATATCACTATCTATCCACATGCTATATTCTTTTCAATTTCTTACAATAAGATCACATCTCTCTAGATATCTTTCTTTGAAGCACATTTCAATTCTCTAGTTTGTTTTATTATCATGCACTTATGTTATTGTTATGCATTTTACTTCTAGTTTAACTTGGTGCATGTACTTCTTCTCATGTCTCTTTCTTAAACTGATTCTTTTTCACATTATTTTACACTTTGAAAACCTTTTTACGTCCATTTTACCTTTACTCTCTCATATTATCTTCGTGTGAGTATTTCTTTGTAAATCCTTATCTATATTAGTAATTTGTTTTTTTAATTATCCTTTATCCCTTATTCTTTCCTCTCTATTATTCTTTTTTAATCAGTTGTTGCATATATATATCTTGCTATCATTTTATATCCTTTTTCAACCAATTTTTCTTCCTTTCTTTCCCTAATATGTATTAGAAATGTTTTCAAGTCAAAAAAAAAAAAAAAAAAGACTTATTAACATTATTCTCTTAGTACTAATTTTTCACTTGCTTTTACTTTGCCTTTAATTAATTTTTGTGGAGTTTTCATCTTTCAACGTTCCTCTCAAATTTATATCATTATGTTTATTAATTCTCTACCATACACATTATTCTTTGTTTTATTATACTCTTATATCTATCATTCTTTCTTAGACATTTCATGTATTTTAATCTATTTTTTTATATCTTATTTGACCCTTTTTTCTACTCCAACATGTTTTATTAGAAAAATTTTATGTCATAATATAAAAGACGCAACTTCTTAATATTATTCTCCTAATATTTTTTTCACTTGTCTTTACTCCACTTCTATTATTATTTTTCTTGGAATTCTACTTCTTAGCTTCCCCTCTTACATTCTATCATTATATTTTCTCTACCCTATATTCTTGTTTCTTTCCCTCTCTATATTAACAATTTATTTGTTATTATTCTTTTATCTCCCTAATCTTTCTTTGTAGATAATTTCTTTTTAATCACTTTTTGCATCTCCATTTATCATCATATATGTCTTTTCTACCTTATATTGGAAATATTTTAGGCCAAAACATATATGGCACAATTTTTTACCATTGTTCTCTAGTTCTTTTTCACTTTACTCCTTTACTCGACTTCTCTCATATCTCTCCACCTTACATATCTGCCTTCTGTTTCCTTTTATAGATGAAGTTTTATTTTTTGTTATTCTTCTTCCTTTCATTCTCTTCCTTTCTATTATTTTTTTATTAGTATTGTTCATTGATACTTTTTCACATACCTTCACTCCATGTCTTATTAGATTTTTCCATAACTCATCTCTTAGCTTCCTTCATCAATCAGAATTCATCACACCATACATTTGTCATCTCTTTCTTTCTCTAAATTGGCAATTCCCTCTCTATATCAGTATTTATTTATTTTTCTTTCTCCCATTATCATTCCATCTCTATTACTTTTTTAATCATTATTACATCTCAATTTATCATTATTTATATCTTTTTTTTTTTACCTAATTTTTTCTCTTCCCCCTTCTCTATATTAAAAATATTTTATGTCAAAATATATAATGCCCAACTTCTTAGTATTATTATCTCAATACATTGCTTTTTTACTTGCTTACTCCAAATATCATTATTTTTCGTAGGCTTTAACTCTTAGCTCACTCCTTAAATTTTATTATGGAATTAATGTAATACTATCCGAATTGTATATTAAAAATATAGTTTACCTTATAAATTTACTAAAATACCCTTGTTGAAATAACACAAGAAATAGTTTTATTAAGTGTACTTTAGTAAATTCATAAAGTAAACTACACTTTTAATATATAGTTACAACTATAAAATGTTTTTTTTGTTTTATTATTTGTTATTACTATTTATTCTCCCTTATCTTTCATTCTAATATTTTTTTATTAGCTAATCTTTCCTTCCATATTTTTCTTTCTTGGTCACTCTTGATATCTTCTTTTGTCATTATATGTCTCTTTTTGCTATAATTTCCTTTTATCTCCTATAGTTCATATTAAAAATGTTTTATGCATAAATAGCACAATTTCTTAATATTATCCTCTAGTTATTTTTAACTTACCTTTATGCCCCAGGGTCAAAGTACCCCTTATATTCCTTTAAAAGTTGTCTTCAACTATAGCTATCATAATCCTACTTTTGATTCTCTGCTTATAACTATTATTCTTTGTTACCTTTTCACTTACCTAATTTACACCACCTCTCATTTGTTTTTCTTGTAATTCCATCTCTTAACTTTTCTCATCACTACTTATCATTATATTTATTTCTATATCATATATTTGCCATCTTTTTCCCTTTATAAGTTTATATATTGAGTTTTTTTAACTTACATTCGAATTCATTTATTGCAATTTTTCTCAGTTTTATCAATCACCCAATTAAAATTCTATGGTGTCATTGATTTTGAAAGTGAAGATAATTTTTTTGTCTTTCTACCCAATTTAATGCAAAAGAGATGCAATTAGATAACTCAATTAGTATTAGCAATTTATACTTCTTATTAGTATTTTATTTGTTTTTATTCTTTTTTCCCTTATCATTTCATTTCTATTATTATTTTTTAATCATTTCTTGCATCTAAATATATCATTATTTATATCTTTTTTATCCCAATTTTTTACTCTTGCCCATTCTTTATATTAGAAATGTTTTATATCAAAACAAAAAAGGTGCAACTTTTTAACATTATTACCTCAATACAATCACTTACTTCATGTTTTATTACTTTTCTTGGGTTTCATATCTTAGCCTACTCTTCATATTTTATCATTATATATTTTTATTTTATACTTGCTTTAATTTTCTCTCTCCATATTAATAATTTAGTTTTATTATTCTTTTATCTCACTTATCTTTCTTTATAATTTTTTATTAGCCAAATCTTTCCTTCTATATTATTCTTTTTGAGTCACTGTTTGTATCTACAATTATTATTATATATCTCTTTTTGCTCTAATTTCCGTCTATTTCTCATTGTCTATATTAGAAATGTTTTAGATCAAGAAATAAATTGCACAACTTCTTAACATTATACTCTAATTTTTTCTATTTGCATTTATGCCTTAGAGTACTTCTTGTACTTCTTCAAAAGTTATCTTCAATGATTACCATCGTAATCCTACCTTTGATTCTCTTTTTCTATTTTTTCTTTCTTTTTCTAATAGGAGAAATCCAATATTAATAACTTAACAAAAGTCTTAATAATACTTTAATACAAAATTTATCAACTTTTTTAGGGTACTCGATAAGTTTAATTATTGTTCATAATATGATGTTAATTTAGCCTCGATTTTACTAATATTTAAATGGATTTAATATGATTTTACTCAATTTTACATTATTTTCATTATTTATGTAGAATAGAACTTAACTTTTAAAAATTACAAATTTGGAACTAAATAACAATGTTTCACAAAGAAAAAGAATGAATAAGCTAATGAAACTGAGGGCCAAATCATAAAATTATGAAATATAAGGACTGAAGTGTAAAAATTTTTTAAAGTTGATGACTAATACTATAATTTTAGCATAAAAAAAGAAACTAAAAGTTCACGATAGAATTATGAATCCGGCAGCTCTTCTCTTTTTTCTTTTTTCTTTTTTTGGCTTTTTTTCCCCTTTTTTTGTGGTCTATATAATTATAACTCTAATGTCTTATAATTCGAAAAATATTAAAGAAATGCTAACTCCTATAATAAGAAATCAAATTTTATTAGCGTTGGATTGCAATATTTATATGTTAGATTCAAATTACTTTTTATTATGTATTTAAAAAAAAAAAACTTAGTGTATTTATTAATGATTTTTGTATGGCTATTGAGTGTTTATTGAGGATTTTTTTAAAGTCTAATGGGTATTTATTTGAGTATTTTAAGAAGAATTTTGTTATAATAACAGTTTTATATATTGTTAAGATGATAAAAAAAAAAATCTTAATTATTAAAAATAAAAGATAAATGATTAGGATTTTATATAAAGAGATTAGTGTTTGTCCGTCTTACCTCCAAAAAATTAAGAAGAAAAATGACAAAAATCACCTTAATGCATGCTTTAAAAACAGGGTAGTTTGGTCTTTTTCAATAAAAATTTACTGAAACGATATAGTTTTGAGATGATTTTTTTTCTAATCTTTAGGAGATAAGACTGATAGACACTATTTTCTTATATAAATGTAGTATGTAAAACTTATATCTAAGTGAGTTTATATTATATATATTTGTGTATATATATATATAGAGAGAGAGAGAGAGATATATAATTAAAACTCTTACCAGGCATTTCATTTAAGATACAAAAATGGAGGAGTAAGGAACCATCCTGGCCTTTGTCCGGAGCTAGGAATTCCAGAGTCTGAAAGTAGAGATAGACTGTTGTTTCCTTGAAGCGTTGGACGCATGCCCGCACCACTGGGATCCTGCCCTTTTTGTCCTGGATTGTGAGCAATTTCTTGTTCGCTATGGTTAAGCATGCTGCAATGTCCGTTGCTCCAAAGTTGACAGCATAGTCAAGAGCTGTGCAACCATCTATATCTTGGGACAAGATTTCTTGCTCGGACATTATCTGCACCAGTTTCTTAACCACCTCCACATTACCTGATGCTCCTACTGCCAAATGAAGAATGCTACATCCTTGACCCATAAATTGTGGATTTCTTTGGTGAGGCGGACACTCCTCTAACAAATTCAATACCTCTTCCCAATTCCCGTCGAAAATGGCATTTAAGAATGTATTGCTACGACTCCTTTTAATATGCTCCGTTTTCCCTGCAACAAATTAAGTTCCAAGTCCTTAAGAAACCTCACCAAGGGATTATATATATATTGATCATATGTAAAGAAAAGGAATTCAATAAACCTGGAATGATTCCCTCAAAGAATCTGCGGAGCTCTAACCTCCGACTTGATGATTGAAGTCCATCCAAGAGCCATGTATTCTTCTTCTCATCATGTATTTTAGCCAATTCTTCCCAAGCCTCTCTCGCTGAAGTTTTCCCCATTATCCGAGCAAAAATCCCTGGAGCACATGAGATTTGAAGGGCGTGTAGAACTGCAGCATTCTTTCTGTTCCAATTAGCAGTAGGCTCTTCATCAGTAGAAAATGATTCATCGTTTGGTTCAACAACATCCCAAAGATCTTGAGCTAATAAATAGTTTCGCATGCAATTGCTCCACTCTTTATAATTGCCCTGTGAAAGAACATCTGGAACTAACACAGTTGAGGTGATCGTTCTGGCCATTTCAACCTACATATATAGAAGCAAATCATGATATAAACTAATCATATATAAATAATGTGCAACGTTTTCTACGAGCAGAAGATTGCCCAGCAGTCGTGGTTCAGAGTTAATTTAAAGGTTTAATAAATTAGACCCTTTTTTTTCCACAGTTAGAGTGTTTCAGGCTAATTTCTCATGACTAATCGCTCTTCTCTCTCTCTTTAAGTTGAGATTTAAACTTAGATCTTGAATCTACCCTACAAGATGACACTGTAAATCCAACAGTTAAATTAGACTAATTTGTTAAAAGCAAAATACATAAACTAAAATTAACGATCCAAACTTACAGAGGATAAGATGAAAAGATGAATTAAGGCCCTTCCTCCTCAAACTGATCTTTAATTAATGACGGGGATAAACCTGCTCTGCATGCTCTGACTATAATTTGAATGTAAAACTAGATAGAAGGTATGAACAGAATGTAAAACTAATGTATATCAAATCTAATTTAATTTGAATATAAATTAATAATCTAAAAGTATGAAACAGAAAGTAATTTGGACTTTGATAGAGCAATAACAGAGATTAAAATACTCACAGCTAGACTAATCCTGTTCAACCTGCAGACAAATGACTTTGAATGCAATATTTACGGAACATCTCAACGACACCATTTTATAATCTTCTTTTACAGGCATTATCCGTTGATACCAAAGCAAAAGCAAAAGCAATAAAAAGAATGACTTCATGGTTAGGTAATAAACAAACCCAAGCAAGAATCCCATTCCCAGCAAATCCAAAAGAATCCAATAATGCATGTAACACGTTCCCTTGGACACAATTTTTAGGATATATATATATATATATATATATATATATATATATATAAAATAGGGATTTACTTATACAGCAAGTCTTGTATACCACACTTATACAAAATTTCAACAATTCATTTTTTTTACTTTCAATGGTTAAGATTTATCATGACTTTCTAGAAGAAAAAATAATTATCTTTAATAAATGTGAATAAATCTCAACCATTAAAAATTAAGAGATGAATTGTTGAGTTTTTGTATAAGTGTAATATATAAATTTTGTATAAGTGTAACATGTAAATTTTGTATAAATGTAGTATGTAAATTTTGTGTATAAGTGACTCCGTATGTGTATATATATATATATATATATATATGGAAAGAGTATTTTACATATCGTAATCTTAAATTTTTTTAGAAGACATGTTTAAAAACTCATCTTCTAATTAATATTTTTAGAAACCAATTTTGGATTGAAAGTTCTACTTATATAGATCATGTATACTTAACCATTTTGTTGATTATAAGAAATTTAATACCGTTAAATATATGTTAGTAAATAGAATTTATTTGATCAAAGTGTTATAACACCAAAACAAAATGCCATGTACTGACGGGAATCTTTAAGGATGGATAAGAAAGCATTTGTATAAATTGTGTAAACAAACTGAAAACTTAGGTATTCAGTATTCACTAGTTTATACCAATAGACAAATATATCCATCAATGTAGGGTGGATTTATACTAGTTATTTGTTTGTATAGAGTGCATCTATTCAAATGATAATCATCATTTGTTTGTATAAATGGATCAATACAGAAGAATTTACATGTTCTGTTTGTATAACTCATTTAATTTTTGTTTTTTTCCCACCACTTTTTTCTTTTTAATTTTAGTTGTAGGTATACATTCTTCATTTACCTCCATAAATTCCCAATTTTCCCTCCTTAAATTCTTGAATTTCCCTCTCTTTGACTATCAAAAGGCAAACCTAAATATTTCCCTCCCCAAATCTCCAAAATTTTGAATTGATTTTGTTAAAACTCAAAAACCCATTTGAAAATAACTACAAAACACAATTCCACAACTCTAATCCATCAACGACTGGAGATCAATTGTTAATTTCGTGTTGATTTGCATTTTAATAGAAGGATTTGGGGTGATTTTTCCTAATTCTATTCATTTCTTCTATATTCATGGGCTAAGGAAGTTCAAGAGACAAGGATTTGGATTGATTTCGTCTTTCTTGTCGCCTTCCCATTTAGCTTCACTTATTTGAGGTCAGTAAGTTTTCTTTTGCTTTTCTCTATCCTTCTATACTCATGCATTTTTCTCTCGTGAATTTTATTTCGTTAGATTGCTTTTGGTTGATGTTTCATGTCTTTTATTTTGATTCATTTTCATTTAAAGAAGTGAAGCAAACTTCTTTAAAATTTTTGAGTGGGACTTTACCTTCTTTGTGATTTGGGCAACCAAGTAATTTAGTATTGTTTGGGCAGCTTCATAGTTCAACATTGTTGAAGTCCTCAGCTGCTCCTACACCTGAAAATCCCGAGGAGGTTTCCTTGGAGAAAACACTCCAACGCTCAAGTCAGCAATACTCAATATTCTAGAGAGAGATGCTTTCAAGGAGTAATTGCAGAGAGAAAAACGTAGGAATTAATTACCTTCATTGTTGGTGGTTGGGGGGTATTTATAGCCCCAAATGCTGACATACATCAATACATGTAACTAACTCATTGGCCCACGTGGTGCCCCTCACGTGGGTATGTCTCCTCCTCTTGGGCCTGTGTATGCATAGTTGGACCTGTTATATGTGGCTCGAAGTGGGCGTTGGGCCTAATCTCAACAAGTATTAATTTACGTTTTTCTTAAAAGAAAATTTTTTTGTTGGTCTCTGGTTCTAGCACGTATGATTGATGCACATGCATGATATATAAAATGCTGAACTTGTGGAAGCCATATCCGGATCTCGTGTCCTCTCTTGAATGCATGGACGACTATTTACTGCATTATAGTTGGTTTATGAATAAATTTTTGTTTTCAGGAAAGATGCCCATGCTTCTAGGACTAATTGATAAATTTTTGTTTATGGAGTCTCTCACTGTATTCTTTTAGATTTCCTTATGAAGCCAAAAAGGCCTTAATTCCTAGGAAGATTGAGTTTCTAGGACTTATTGTATGATTGGTCAGCCGTGTTTCAATTGAATATCATTGTTATACTCGTTGAATTGATTGTGTCCATTCATATTTATTTCATTCTTTCTTTCATCCTTTCCTGTTCCCTACCACAATTGGAAAAGGCAAATTTTCAAACTGATATAAACTTTACCAATAATTTTAGGAAAGGAAAAACATGGACAACAGAAAAAAGTTGCCTAGTCAAAAATGAAGAAGGGTACAACGTTGACCCAAAAATTGTATTGTAGATTTTTTTTATGAGGCCGGCACTGTCTAACAGTTTGATTACGGTGTCCCCAGTTCTTATTGAGAATGGCTTCTAAGGCTTCTAAGGCTTCTAACAATTCAAGTAGTTAATTAGTTTGTAGTAAAAATAAAAGATTTTAAATTTGAGTAACATGTATTGCAGTTAAGATGAGTTAAAGGAACAAGAGGGAAGATCTCTTATATTATATATACAACAAAAATAAAATCTTAAAAGCTACTAAAATTTTAAAATTAAAAAAAAAAGGAAATAATTTGCTTTCTAAGTTTTACCGAACACTGTCTAATATTTATTGATCATATGGATTTTTGGAGCTAAAGAAAAGGAATTCAACAACCTGGAATGATTCCCTCAAAGAGTATGCAGAGCTCTCTGATCCCCGACTTGGTGCTTGAGGTCCATCCAAGTGCCTTTTATTCTTCTTTTCATGTATTTTAGCCAATTCTTCCCGAGCCTTTCGCTAAAGTTTTCCCCATTATCTAAGCAAAAATCTCTGGTGCACATAAGATTTGAAGGGCATGTAGAATTGTGGCATTCATTCTCTTCCAATTAGCAGTAGCCTCTTCATCAGTAGAAGACAAATACATTGCTTGAATCAACAACATCCCACGTTTTCTACAAGCAAAAGATTGCACAGCTCACGGTTCAGAGTTAATTTAAAGGTAGAACAATAATAGATGCACTTTCTAGTTCAAGACATCCCACAGCACTCACTAAAAATCTGTAAGTTTAATTTTTACGTTTTTAATTCAAATTAAAAAAAAATAATTTTTTAATAAATGCATTAGATTGTGTGTGTTATGAGATAAATTAAATTAGAATATATACTAATTATTTTCCTTTGAAGGTATATTAAATTATACTTTTTTATTTTTTAGTTTAGAAGTTTGAGTATTCCAGAATAATTTTTCATAACTAATTCTTTTCTCTATGAGTTCAGACTTAAACTTGAATCCTGAACATGAGGCTTACTTACTATTAATAAATCCAACAGTTAAATTGGACTAATTTGTTAAGAGTAAAATACATAAACCCAAATTAACCGTACAACCTTGCAGAGGATAAGATGAACAAATTAATGAATTAAGGCCATTCCTCCTCAAGCCGAGAGCTTTAATTAATGACGGGGAAAACCTGCACTGCGTGCTTTGACTATAATTTGAATATAAAGCTAGAAGGTATGAACAGAAAGTAAAGCATATGTATAACAAATCTAATTTAATTTGAACATAAATAAATAATCTAAAAGTATGAACAGAATGTAATTTTTTTTTTTTTTTTGAACAGGTTGATAAGTGACTGGGTCGAATTCCAACCCAGAGAAAGGGGGAGTGCACCATGAAGTGGCTATTGCCACTTGCCCTTCAGGGCTCAGTGAACAGAATGTAATTTGGACTTTTGATAAAGCAATAAGAGATATTAAAATAGTCACAGCTCGACCCTGTTCAACCTGCAGCCAGATGACATTAAATGCAATATTTCCAGTATATCTTAACGAAACCATTTTCTAGACCTCTTTTATAGACATTTATCCAATGATACCAAAGCAAAAGCAATAAAGAACGACTACAAGGTTAGGGTATATCAAGATAGCATACCCAAGCAAGAATCCCATTCCCAGCAAATCCGAAAGCATCCAAGAATGCACGTAACACGTTCTCTAGTACTCAAGAAGTTCCTAATTGTTACCCTAAAATCTTGTTTGTGACACCTTGTAATAAAAATGAGATCTTATTTTTACAAGAAAAGCAAGAAAAGAATTCACTCAAAACCCTCTTCGCTTCTACTTGATTTTTTTGCTTATGAATAGAGCTGTTGGAAAAACATCCTTACTAACAAAGCCATTGGGAAAATATGTTTAAAGATACACTCCAATTTAACACATTACAAAACACATTCATTAAAAATTTAATGCACCCATTCACACAAGATATAAGAATCAGTTTAATTGACTATATTTATATTATATTTTTAATGATTAAACCAAATAAGTGTTAAAAATAGATCAAATCGAGTCTATACTTGTTTACACCATAAATTATAATTTTTTAAGTGATCTCACGTGTTAATGGATAAAGTGAGGTCACATCAAATTTACTGTTGAAATTCATATCAGTAAAAATTAATTTCAAGGAACAATGAAGATTATCTGGTTAGTTGTAGTTTAAATTGAAAAGAAATAAAAATTCTTATAATTTAGGAGGAAC